ATTTCCCATGGGGGACTCACAGGATGCCTTCTCTGCATAGCATTTCACTTTTCAGCAGTTACTACAGCACACAGCCCTAGGTGCTTAGGAAGCAAGTACAGTAGCATAAGATAATCAATTTCTCTATAATGTATTTCCTTAAGTGTCTCCTGAAGACCCACTTATTCCAGTGCCTACAAGAAACTTGCTCAGTCATCTACTTTTCTATTTCATTTTATTTATCCCATGAGTGAGCTGCTTTGCAGGAGGGTAAGAGCTGGAGTGAACTGTGGAAGGACATTTGGAAACTGAATCACAGGACAGACAAGGGAGAGCAATGTGTGGAAGATGTTGAGGCTAGGCAGGGGGATGGGATTTAGATCTCAGTCCTGCAATGGGCTGATCTCTGCTTCTATGCAGAGCCTTCATAGTGTTAAGGGAGGGCTTTATGACTGGGCCCCTGGCCCTGTGAGGAAACATGGGATACCAGCCGCAGGCTGAATGTGTTCACAGGGTTCTGTGTATGTTGATGCAATTGCAGGAGCTATCTTAGTTCTTCAGGGAAAAGTTACTGTTCTGTACTATATTTGTTTTTGAGAGCACTGACACGTCCAAGTCACTCTTGCCCCCATCGGTGTTTGGAAAGTGCCTTGGATGCTCACTGGCAACAAACAAATATCACGGTTTTTAAATTAATCAAAAATCTGAAGCAATCCAGAGTAACAGTTTGTCGTGTCTTCCTCCCCCTTATATTCCCCTCTCAGTCAGCAATGATAGGTGCTGTATTTCTTGCTAGGGTACAGCTTGACCTGGTTGTAAGTAGAAAACCCCAACACAAGTACAATGCTGAAAGTGCTTCATTTTCTTCATAGTGACATTTTCATTACCCATACACTACTGAATAAAACTACATGCCCGGTACTCAACCTGAACAAAAAGTGTGACATTTTTCACTGAAGTGTTTCCTTTTAATCAAAGCAACTTCAAGATAATCTCTCATAAAAAAATCTAATACTTCCAAAAACTGTAATGGTCCAATTCAGCAAAGCATTTCAGCACACACTTAACTTTATTCACAAGAATGGCCCCATTGGCCACATCCAGACAAGCGTGGGCATTAGTTTCCCTGAGGACAAGTAGCAGTGGCACGTCCCTGGGGAACGCCTGTGCCATGCATGCTCTCATGCAGGGCAGGTTGCCCCGGGTGGGGTAGGGGAGGCAGGAACCAGCAACTGTGCTGGATCCGCAGCCTAACCTGGGGGTCTCAAGGAGCTGCAGTGATCCTGCAGCTGGGAGCCAGGCCAGCAACTGGAGCATGGCTCCAGCCAGCCAGGCTCTGGTTTTGGGTGGCAGGCACTGCTGCCACATGTGCCAACCCACTTTTTTTTAGGTGGTGTTTTTTTTTTACTCTGGGATCTCCCAGGGTCAACCTCCCCTCCCCCCAGCATCACAAGGTAGTAGTACAGGGAATCGCTGTATGTGCGGTGAATGGCACTGCACACAGGTCTGTGGTGCCACATACTGCTCATGTGTGTTCATCTGGATGTGGCCATTGATTTCAAACAGAATAGTCACATATTTAAAAGTTAAGCCTGTGGTAAAATGCCCCACTGAACCATGGAGGAAGGGAAGGTTTTTAACAGAGGCAGAAATGGTGGCTAGATGCCTGGCTCCAACGGGGATCAATGGGCATATGGTACCTACTTGTCTTTTGGTGCCTTTGAAAATCTCCCCTGAATACATGTAATTAAAGGAGTCACAGACAATGCTCAAACATGAAGCACTGCAACATGTTTGTCTAGGATAGTTCAGACAGGGATGATTGCGCCTAAATAACCTCCTGAGGTCCCTTCCAACCCTACTTTTCTAGAATCTATGACTATGATTTCTGGGGGTCTGATGCTGAGTGATGTTGAATCCCTTCTATGTTACATTGAGCATCCTCATTTTAACCAAACAAGTGACTGTTCAGGGCACTCAAGGTCTTGTGAGGACTGGAACCTATACCTCTTCATTGTTTTTTTAAAACTTTTCCCCTCTCCATTTCTCTGGTTTTGAACTCCCATCCAATTCAAATGTAATGTCTCTACCTTGGCTACAATCTTCTCCAAAAAATAAAGATGACAACAGATGGAAAAGATTTTTTTTCCTCCAAAAAAGCTGACCTTTTCATGCCATTTGCCTGCTGTGAAAATAATATGAGTTCTATAGCCAAATGATGACTAAGTGTCTGCAAGCCAGCTGATTGATAAATGGCTTCAGCTAACTAATTGGCCATAACTGGTTCTTTTAATGGAATGTGTGAACATTAGCACACATATTCAAACTGATGTTTGTCTAACTGGATGGAGCAATCTAAGAAAATAACCCAACAGGTCTTTTTCATCTTTAGCTGCTAAATTCCTCTACATGCACAGTTCCTATTTTCTCATTAAAAATAAGAATTCAAGAAACTATGGAAATGCAGCATTATGGCTGAGAATTTATCTAAGATGCTGGTTAGCATGCTGTACATATCCCCATGTGTCTGTTCCATAATTAATCCATTTGCTATATTTCATCCTTTACAAGTTTGTACGATGCATTAGTTCAAGTTGGAAAGGTTCATCCTTTGGATCTGGAGGCCACAGTTTGTTTTTTTTTCCAGAAGGTGACCAACCTGACAGTTGGACATATTTGCACATACAAAATTAAGGGAATTCTCCAAGACTTATGCAAGGTCCCCACATCAATTGTTATTCAAACAACAGAAGCACTACAGTTAATACCAGATACTGCACATACACAAGAGATCTAGCCATTCTAAAAACTGTTAAGTCTGAATGACTTAAGATTACTACATTTAAAAATTGAGCCGTATACCTGCATTAATATCATGCAAGATTTTAATTCTATTGAAAGTAAAGGCTGTTGTACAGCTAAGAAAATCAGTACCAGAACAAATATAGTCTCCTAACAGTAACAGATGTCACTGTACAGGTTTACTTTTATTCATCTCTCTGTCCTTATACCATAGGGAAAGCATAGCCAGAGTAGACACAGAGTATTCCTTTAACTTTGGTAACTACTATGATATTTCTAAAAATATTAAATCTAACTTGATATATATACACCGTATATTTTTCTGATGCCTGAAATGGTATTGTCTAGAACTGTATTACTCATTCAGATTAAATGACAGGGAAAACAAAGACCTCATCTGGAAAATCCATCAAGCTAACTGAAAAATTTGGTGGAGGGACATCCATCCCCTCACTATCAGTTTACATAGAAAACAGCCAGAAAATTAGCAAAAGACTCTCAGTTGAAGGCTCGCATACGCTTACTCACACTGAGTAAACCTGACTCAATGTGTTGACTTCAATGGGAGTACTCAGAGGGCACGTGTACATGTTCATTAATGCACTTTTGCTACTGCACATTATGTTTAGTACCTCTAACATGAGGTACTACATAAAGACACATTAGGCTGCTCTAATGAGCAGTAGCAAAAGCAAACACCTTTTTCGTGATATTTAATGCGCAGAAGACTAATTCTTCTGCGCATTAGTGTATTAACACTGTTTTTGCCACAATGCTTTAATGCACAGTAGAAGAGGCAATTGTCCATTAAAGTGCTCATGTAGACGTGCCCAGAGAGTAAGATACTACTCAATGAAAGCAAGGTTATTTGCAACTGGCCCTTAATTTCTAATAATATAAATAAATAAATAAAGCCTTTCAATGATTCTGTGTTCACATCAACTACATCTAGTCAACAATACTAAGCTGAAGAGAGATTTGTAAATATTGCACATATGTCAACTACATGTGGCGACTTAGATGAACATCCCGTTTCCTATCCCTTTAGGTCTATTATATTACAGTCCTGATTGAACCAAAATGCATAGAAGAGAATGATCTGCCACACAATTTATTAAAGTTGATGGAGTGTAGACAGACTTTTCAATAGCCTTTAAAATACTGTGATGCTCTGTAGTACATTATTAATGGGAACAAATGCAGGCAATCTGCTTCAGCTTTTCACCAAGCTATCCACCAATGATGCTATGATGTAAATCAATTCCATTCCATTTCTTCCTTTGTGCAGGAAAACTTTAAAGGGGCAACATCAAGGTTGGAAGGCAAAAAGAACCCAACTCCTATAGTTGTATTAAAGTTATACCATACCAAATAGACTGCAAGCAAGTTTGCTGGGAAGTTTTAAGGAAATAAAGCATATAAATCCAATCTCCCATAAATAAGCATGGTGCACACACCTTTAGGTCCTATGACAACAAATCACTGTGTAATTTCAGTGTGTGATAGCAGGTACATATGTAAGCTTCAGAGGGCAAAAAGCTTGTCAGTTTTTTTTAACCTCCCAAGTACCAAAGAGAGGCAGGCACGTGTTATATGGAGAATTATCTGCCTACAATGCCTGCCTCAGATATCTGCCCAATAATTAAGAATGGCTGTTTGCAAGTACAATAACAACAACACATTAAAGATGGAGCAGAGGGAACTGTGGTTGCCACAGCCAAAGACACATTTTTAGTTTTAAAAAGGATGTCACAACAAATAGTTTCTAAATAAATATTAAATTTGCTGATAGAAAAGTGATGATCAGCACATAGGGAGTGTAGAAGATCAAGATACATTCAGTAATCAGAGAAGGATCTTGGAAGATACCAGCTGTCTTTTACTGCACATTCCTCAATCACACTGTTCAAAATTTAAAGCCTCTCATCCCTCTCCCACGCACTGGCCAAATTGAAAATGAAATCTGTTTCCCATCTTGCTCAGCTATAGTGTGGTTTGGTTGACAAAGCCCATGGGTAAAATCTTAACCTCACTGAACTCAGTAGGAACTTTGCCACTGATTCCAATGGGTCCACTATGTCACTTCCTGACTTGTCACCATGTAGGCTCTGAAAGCTGCGACAGTGACAAAAGTAGCTTAGTCTCAGGCTCAGCTTTACCCTCACAGCTGCTTTTTAGTCAAGCATGTGAACCAGTGAAATGCATGAAGGTTGACCTACCTCAAACAATGAGCCTTGATAGACACAAGCACCTGTAGGACCAAAAAAAGAACATGGATTAGAACAGATTCAGTGACTAATCAGTGCTTTAAAATAGTATATACACATAATACATGCTTATAATTCTTGATTTCTTCATAGCTCAAACCTCTCACTCATAAAACAAGGTTTTGGCTACAAAGAAACTGATTTTGCCTTCTTTGGGCACCCACAATTCCCACTAATGTCAATGAGGGTTTTAGATGCATCAGTGATATCCATGCAAAAAAAAAATGTAACAGAAGATACTGGTGCTACAAACATGTTATTTCACTTTTACCATACTTTTGACCCCATCCCATCCTAACACCTTTGTTTTTCTTCCAGAGGTCAGTAGAATCCAGAGTTTCCATGACCTCTCTGACTGAAGAGCAGGCCAACTTTTTTTTCCTTCATCAAGGCCTCTGTTTATAGCTTTAAGCAGAGCAGACATAGAGAACAAGTACACCATGGGCAGCAGCAATAAAAATTTCACCCACGGTCTTAAACCAGTGGTCTTAAACCTAATTTGGAGGGACTAGTCTTTATGGGAATGGGGTAGGTGAGCACCAATGCCAGGATATTCTTTCACGACTCTTCTGACACTGCCGGCAAGTGGATCAGTCAGCCTGGAGCCTCTCTGGAAGGTTTATTTTTGACATCAGTTCATTAGAGACAGACTGACACCAGTCACCCTTCTGCTTCTTTATCTAGGCTCTTGTACAGCAAGATGCCCTTGCTGTGGCACCTGCGTGTCTTTCACACTAACCACCAAATATCTTAATGCAATAAGCTTTCTGGCTTGAACCTGAATTAATGCCATTGAGGTGAAAGTCTTCCAGACTTCTAGCTACTCCATACAGTTCTATTCCTTTTAATGGACTGGCCTTCTAGCAAGGAGACTTTCATATGTATCTATTCATAGTAAAAAACTTGTTTGCCATGTAAGCAATCTGCCTAACATTTGCATGTTTCAGTCTTGTTCCTAACATGCACCACCACAGACTTGAAATCAGCATACTTACAACTTGCTCCTCTCTCCACTAGAACCAGCCCCTCGGGCTACTCGGTGAGCAAAAGCAAATAACAAAAGGTTGTTTCTGTAACATAAGGTTACAGGAGTGCTCAACCCACAGCCCACTGGCCAAATCCCCATGGGGCTCTGTATGAGTTCGTAAATTTATCAGTGGGGGAAAACAGTGGCAATTAACACTGCCACCCCTTCCCCCTTACCAAATTTCCAAGACCCACACAGCTGGATCAGGCCCAGGCCAAGCTGCTGCCACACAGCTGGATTGGGCCCCAGTTGTGCCTGCCCTGTGCACCGGACTGGGCCCTCATTATTCCCACCCCCACACCAGCTTGAACCCACGAATCTGTGGGACCAAAAGGTTGGGCACCATTCCAGTAACACAAGGTTGAGTAACATAAGGATGATTAAAATAAAAATGAACTGGCTACCTAGTAAGTTTGAAGGGATATAAAACCAACAACTGGCCATTTGTTTGGCAGATGAAAGACAAACACATGAGGTTTTGGTGCGGCCTGACAACACAAGCTATTCAGCCCTGGCAAAGATATAGACACGGGGCCCTGCTCAGCGAAATGAAGGATGAAGAGACAAAGAGGAGGCCTGAGAATGTCTTGCAGTTGGTCTCCAAAAAGGAGTGAGCATTTGCATCTGTCCATTTGCCTCTGCTGTACACCTGCCAGATCATTAATGAAATGTCACAGACAGAAAACAGCCTGTTTTCTTTCTCAGCCTGAGGTCAAGTGTAGAGACAATAGCCAGTAAAACCTGGAGAGGGAACTACTAACATCTGGCAATAAAATAAAGGTGGGAGTTTAACCCTCCAAGTATCAGCCTGGATTATCCTGGTTAGTCCCGGTTTTATTGCTACTCATATCACAACAGATAGCCTCTCACATTCTAAAGATATCAAATGCTGGGGTCCATACTCAAACTAAACCCCCGCTGCCTTACATAGATATTTTGAATGAATGTGGAAAGCTGAGAGATGATCCATTCTACACTAATGAGACTGGCTCTCTTCCTCCACTGCATGATGGCAAGAATGCGGTTTCACGTATGTCTAACTATCCTTGCTTCCAGCCATCTCCCATCCCTGGTTTGGCATGCTTGGCTCCCACTGAAATAAACAAGTCACATGCACTCAAAGGAACAATCTGATCCTTACACATGCAAGCATACACTGCATACAAATTGTCCACTAAAAGAAAGAATGTTTCTTCTCTTTGCACTTATAAAAATCCTTACTACTCTTGACAGGATCTATGCCTGTAAACCACCAAAGAAAGTAAGGGGGCAGGGGCAGGGAAGGGAAGGCATAAAAATGTGACTGCTTTAAAAAACTAGTACAAATTCCAGTTCTTAAAAACCATTTTACATACGAAGGGTCACATTCTTCCCATGATGTGTTCCTGTGTTGCCCATTAAAAAGCATACCTATTTGAGGGTGAGAGCTAACAAAGTATTGTTATTTCATGTTTCTCTTTTGATAATCCTGCAGTAAGTTCTCTCTTCCATCTAGGCTGTCTCAGTAATAGCACTGTGTGTGTGTGTATATATGTAGCATCTGTATCACAGTTATTTTGAAGAACTCAAGCATCCCGGTTATTTTGAGATACAGTCACATTGTTCACTCCCCATTAATACCCCAGTCAAATCCCTGATACTGACATTGACAATAATGAAAGGGAAAGATTATCCAAGCAATTGATTGGTGAGATACAGTTTGTACACTCCACTTTTATAAATCAAGTGAGAAGGTGGAAAATGAAATCATGAACAAGTTGAATGACAGTTCCCTTATTTTATGGGAGGGAGGTTTCAAACAGCTGTGCACATCTGTCTACTGAAGATATGACAAGAATATAAATGAAAAGCTACGCAAGAAATTGAAAAATAAAAGGGGGAGAAGAGCAGGCAATGAAAGCTGCCTAGAAGTACCACCCATGAGACTAACAGATTTTGGATGCCTGGAAAAGGGATTTCCCTTAAAAACAGATTAGAGGAAATTATACAAGAAACCTTGGGGCCACATTAGAGCAGCTGCTTAAAATTGAGAGCTATATGTGAAATGGCCTTTACCTTGGGTTCAAGAAGTTAGAAAGATACTTCCTGGTCCCTCAGTGAATATCACTCTTGTAGTGGAGACAAGATTACAAAATTACATCTACACCTCCTGCAAGCCCTTAGCAAGGTGTAATGGGTAGAGGTGCAAAAGATACATCAGTTCAATATCAGATCAGCACCAATATAAAGAAAATTGTCTATATTGGAAGTCAGCCTGAAGTGGTCGATAATTTGGCCAATAAATGGCCTGTGCATGCACGCAGCCACAGCACAGTATGTAGGCAGTGAAGAGCACAGCTGGCAGTGTGGAGAGCTATGTGCAGCTGGTAAGTCTGTTGTGGTAGAAGGGAAGGGAGGGCCATGGGGAGGCAGATCAAAGCCCCCACTCTGAGGAGGGTGTGGGGTTGGGGTAGGCACTGCCCAGGCAGGGCAGGGGAGGGTGCAGGATGGAGCCATGCCTCATCCGGGGGGCACAGGAGGGGAGTGGGGGGCAGCTCCCTCCACTGTGTACAGCTCATTCAGTGGCTCATCCACTCATCCAGCAGCTCCCACCACTCGTCAGGGAGGGCACGTGCCCCCTGATCTGTGTGGGGCGGGCAGCAACAGCGCTGGGAGGGGAGCTATAGAGCGGCTACAGCCCTCCTCCATAGCCCTCTCCCAGCACTGCTGCCACGGCTTACCTGGTGCCACCCCAGTTCACAACTGCAGCCCACCCTGCCCATGCCCCATGCAGATCCAGAGCACATGCCCCCTGATACCCTCCCAGGCAAGCAGTGGGAGCAGTGGTGGGAGCCACTGGATGAGCAGATGAGCCACCAAACGAGATGCGTGCGGTGGCAGAAGCTGCTCCCCTCCCTTCCCGCGGCCCCTGGATGAACCGCAGCTCCATCCTGAGTGTCCCCTGCCCTGGCCACAGCTCCACATCTTCCTCACTTTGATCTGCACCCCCATACCCCTCCTCTTCCACCACAACAGACTTAGCAGTTGCACACAGCTCTCCATGCTGCCGGATGTGCAGTTGCATCCCACCCTGCCTGCACCCCATGTAGATACGGGGCACACGCCGCACCCCCTCCCATGGGCCTTCCCAGGGTGCACACAGCAGCGAGAGCTGCCCCCCCCCCCCCC